ATTTGAACTCAGGTCCTCCTGACTCCAACACCGGAGCCCTATCCACTGCGCCACCTAGCTGCCCCTAGTTCAGTTGTTTTTGCCATGAGATTTTGCCCTTGCTTGGACACAGTTTGCTTGGTACCTCTTTTACCAAACTTCATTCCCTTTCCAATTCCTTCTTCCGGAGTTCTCATTTCTTTTCCTCCCCCTTCCCCCACCCCAGCACTATTTAATTGGTGAAAGTATTTTTGAGTTTTTAAGAAGAATTCTTGCTTCATGTCTTCTAGGAATTCTACTTGAATTTTGCTGTTTTTCTTTGAGACTTGGCTTGTGGATGTTTTTCAGTCATCGTCTCCTGGATGTGTGTCTTTCGCATCCCTGTTTTATGGTGCAATCCTTTTTTTTTTTTTGTTTTCTCATTCTCCCACCCTACTCCTTGACTTCAGACTTTTATCAGGGCTTGGCTTTGTGCACTTCTGGAGGGAATATCAGGGCTGGTCCTCGTACTGCTTTCTTGGGTATTAAATGTGTTATTCTAGGATGCAGCTCTGGCTGTTCGCCTGCAAGCTTTCAGTGCTCCCAGAGCGGTCTGATCCTGAACAGATCTGGTCACTTACCCCTCGGTCTGAGCTCTACACGTTCCTGACCTGGGTTTGGGTCCGAGCAACAGGCCTGCGGGCTTGCTGTGTTAAGAGTGCCAGTAGACTGATGCTGGACCTGGCTGTGTCAGCCAGCTGGGAAGATCTCTGGTCCAAAGGGACAGAAGGCTAGGCTTCCCTTCAGTCTGGGGTTCCTTGAGGGCTTCAGTCTGGACTAGAGGCTGGAAGTGAGACCCTCCTGAAGGCTCTTCAACTGCTCCCATGTTTCCCCTGAGTCTGTTCCTCTCCAGGATGCACACCCCAGGTCCTCCAGCCGATGCCCTGGAGGCCCTGCCCCGTCCTGGCTGCCCCCCTCCGCTTGTCCTCTGCTGCTCCAGAGCACCCCAGGGCCTGAGCCCGGAACACAGGGCTCCAGACGTGGAGTCCAGGGCCCATGACTGCCCGTTACGCTTACCAGGTGCCCTGGGTGCAGGTCCTTTCCTCGGGCTGCTCTGAAACTGGGCAGCAAGCCACCAAACTGCCAGTTGGCACGTGTGCTGGCACCCTGCCCTGGGTCAGGCTTGTCGTGGAGCACAGTCTTTGACCCTGGACCCCCATGTGCACAGACCTGTCTATCTTCTTGGCTCTACTCTGTAAAGTGCTTTGCAAACTTGAAAGCACAATATAAACACAGCTGCTATTAGTGTTAAGTGCGAGGTGATGGAGGTGTGTTTGGAAACGGGGTGGGCTGGAAAAGACTGAGAGACAGGGAGTGGTAGTGCCATCTCCTCACAGGCCGAAGACTAGACATGAGACAAAAGCAGGATGAGGCAGCAGTGGGGCCAGAGGGTGTGGTGTCCATGACTGGGGAGTGACAGTGCATCTGGCCTCTGCCCTGGTCAGACCACCTCTGGACTTCTCTGTTCAGTCCTGGGCATGGGGGGCTCACGAAGGAGGGGGCAGCCAGGACAGGGCGGGGCCTCCAGGGTGTCAGCTCAAGGACCTGGGACGCACGTCTTGGAGAAGGAAAGACTGGTGGGGGGTGGAAGGGGACACGGCGACTGCTTGGCCCCAGGAGTCGCAGTGAACCACGTTTTGACTTGTAAGGAATACCGTCCTCACAGTTTGAGCCGTCCTGTCATGGAGTGGGGTGTTTGAGCTCCTAGCAGGCCACCCCTCGTGAGGCGGCTGAGCACGTGTTGGGGGTGGTGTAGACAGGAGGGCTGTTCCCGTGTAGCCTGGGCCAGGCGGCGCGTAGCGCGTGCGATTCCGTTTTCCCTTCTGTACAATGGAGGTGATGAGTGTTTGCACCGAACTGCTGGGAGTTAAGAATAACTAAGAGGAGCCACGTAGGAGCAGGCTGTTTAGATTCTCATTTTGTGGCATGATTCCCTGGGCCTCAGACAGAGCTCTAGAAAAGACTGTCCGGGGACACTCTGAATCCTGAGCTTGGTGGGAAGAACTCCCTGCCATCCCCACCGGCTTCCCCCGCTCCTCCCTGGTCGTCAGGGGATGGTCCCCAGTTGAGCACACGTGTACTTGGTGTTTCAGGAATCAGTGACCTTCAATGACGTGGCCGTGGACTTCACCGCAGAGGAGTGGCGGGGCCTGCGCCCTCTTCAGAAGGAGTTGTACCGGGATGTGATGCTGGAGAACTACCAGAACCTGGTCTGCCTGGGTGAGGATGGCAGCTGCCCCTGGCCCTGCACTCGGCCTGTGAGGAGATGGCACCAGGCTTCTTGGGCTGTTCTTGTCTGACATCTAGAGACCCCTGTTCTTTGGGCGTTCTGGAGAGGGGCTGCCTGGGCTGCCCCGCACCTGTTCTCAGGTGAAAGGATGAAGGGTCTTTGCTTTGTGCCTCTGAAATCTGACTGCTGCCCCTCCCCTGGGCCCAGGATTCTCCCTCATCGTCCCAGGAATCTGAATACATCACAATCCCCGTCCTCTTAGCAGGGACCAGGCCTCTTTCTGAGCGAGGATCTGCTTTGGGGCCCAGTCCTCCGTATGCCCCCCCACCCTCCCCTCTGCCTTCCACCCCACTTCCAGCCACATTATCTACGGCATCCTTCAGGAACCTTTGTATCTTCCTCTAGGCCTTCCCAGCAGAACCTCGTTCTCCCAGAAGGGGGAGGGGATTAAAACAATCCAATCCCGAGGAGGTTCTGTTTTCAAAAGTCTTTTATATTTTCACCTAACAGGCCTTGCTATTTCCAAGCCAGATGTGATCTGCCAGTTGGAGAGAGGGGAAGCCCCTAGGTTGCCGGAGGGAGACATGCCCCAGAGTGGCTACGCAGGTGAGTGGGTGGAAGAAACCTGGGCCAGGGAGTCCTGGCAACCAGAAGCTCTGTGTTCGTTCCTTGGGGCGGGACTTTTTAAGCGGTCGACCAGGCAGCTGTCCTGGAAGCTCCCCAGGCATCTTCAGGGAATGCTGTGGACATCATCCTCACTTTTCTGGAGCCTGCGTGCACTCGGTCTTCTTGTGTCCTCTCTTTGTAGAGAACGTGGGGAGTTAGGGACTCCGTCGTGGTACAGGTGGGGCGTTTGAGACTGGTTCAGTGACCCAGCCCAGAGAGTGATCAGTCATCAGGAGACAGGGTCGGCTTGCAGGAACTCTCTGGGAATCGGGTCTTAAATAATTGTTGCCAGTGATGCTGATGAAGGCAGTGATCACCCGCAGGTCAGAGGAGCAGAGTATACAAAGCTCAGGGAATGGCGGACTCATCAGATGACAGAGTCTGGCTCCCAGAGCCCTCAACAGGTTAGAGCCTGGGGTCAGATCTCAGGTGACACAGACTAGTCAGATGGATGTGGCATGGCCCTCACACCCTCTGCAGGTGGCAAGGGCCCCTTCGCCGCCTCGGTGACCACTCGGGTCCCACAGCCGCTCTCTGACTCCCCCACTGCTTCTAGCCTTGTTCTCTGGCCCACGGAGACCAGGTGCAAACCCTGTCTTTCACAGCAGCTCTTTAAATACTGGAACAGCTCTCAGGTTTGCCCTCAATCTTCTGTAAAATCCCCACTTCCTTCAGTCAGATCTCCTATGACGCGCTCCCACGGCCCTTCACCCTCCCGGTGACTCTCCTCTGGGCATTCCAGGTCATCGGTTTCTTTCCTGAGCGGGGGTGCCCAAATTGAATCCGCTCCTGGGAGGGCGAGGCCCGATCAGGACAGAGGATGGTAGAACTGTCACCTCCGTCATTCTGCTCCCCCACATCGCTTGGTGCAGGGTACCATGGCATCAGCTTTTGGTGCCCATTCCCCCGTCACACTGTTGACCCCATAAGACCCCAATGTCCTTTTCAGAGTGAAGGCATTTCAGCCTCATCTCCCTCATCCTTTCATTTCAGAGTTGTTTTTTGGAGCCCAGGTACACACCTTGACATTCTTCCCTGTTTAGTTTAACGTCAGTGGAAGTGCTCGCTGTAGTGCCCATACCCAGGGGTGTTAGCTGACACCGTGCAGGTGTGCCCTGAGCTGTGGGGCTCAGAGCCCTGGGCGAGAGGACGAATCCACACTGGCTTCCTTCTCAAGGCAGTCCTCAGCCATTTCTTTGAGGACCCGTGGACAGATGCTGCAGGCCCCAAAGGCCCCTCACAGGCCCGTAGCTCACCTTCTGCCGCCCGTCCCTTCAGAGGAGGTCAATGCCGCTTCTGCCCTCGCCTGGTCTTGAGGCCTGCCAGTCTGCTCTCCAGCCACTGGAGCCCTGGCCCTCTGCCAGGAGAGCATAGACTTTGGCCTCTAGGCAGCGGGGAGCCCTCGGTTGGGGGATTGAGGAGAGGGGCTGGCAGACGGGCCGCCCCATCCCGGGTGGTTGTGCGCTCTTCCAAGGCTTCTTCTTCTTCCCTGGCTCATTCAGTTGTGGAACCTCTTCCTCCACTCCCACATCTTCCTGTCCCCCACCCGTCCGCCTTCCCTCTCCCTGTCCCAAGCGTCCAGGAGGAGGCGATCTGTGCAGGCTGTCAAAGGCGTGGAGTTTCTGTAGGCATTCTTTTTAATTTTAAACTCTGCAATAAAGTGTTGCTGCTCACCCCTCGAGGCTCATCCTTTCATTCCTCCGCTTGGAAACGATTCCCTTTCAGTCTGTATTCATTGGGTTATGTGAACAGTCTGCGTTTTCATGAAATGTGCTGAGGTTCTTAGCTCAGGGACACAGGAGGAGGAGGCTGGGGAACCTGAGAAGATGCAGAGGCCCTAGGGGAAGGTGTGCTGCTCTCCCTCAGCTGCTCCCCTTTCCTAATGCTCAGATGGTGAACTCAAAAGCTTTACGACCGGAGAATCTCAGAGCCAGCCTGGGAGGGGGGAGAGTCTGTGAGAGACTGCTCTCCTATCCACGGCCACCCAACTTCTGTGTCTCTTCTTGTGGGCGGAGGACCACACATGAAAGGGACTGGAAAGTGGGATTGTTGGGGGAGAGAGGAGCCAGTCTGGGCCTTCACGAGCTGGTCCTGGTTTGAATTGGTGGTGTGGGGCCTTCCTCACATGGAGGGTCGGAGAAGGATCACCAGTCAGAGAAAGAAGCCGTGGGTGGTGGAGAAGGCCTCTGGTCTGGTCTTGTGCAACCTCAGCCAGCTGGCGACTAGGAAAGCTGCCTGACCTAAGAATTATGTCCCCGGACCAGCAATAGTTAGAGCAGCAGATAGATGAAAGGGCAGTGCAGTGCCCCCCTCAGAGGAATACTGAGTGGACACCCTTGGGATCCCTTCTCCGGCTTGCCACCAGGCAGGATCAAAGTCTCCTCTGGAAAGGGATGGGCCAGGTTCCAGAGAGAGATATTCCTGCCTCTGCTGCCCAAGAGCCAAATTCAGACCAACCCTGTGGACGTACGCATCTCACATGGACAGTGCGCACGCATACACACAGGCATACACACACCACACATGTGCACATGCACACACACACACACCACACATGCACATGTGCACATGCGCGCCCGCACACACACATGCACACGCACACATCACACATGCAATGCACACACACACATGCCACACACACCCTGCCTAGCCACCCTCAGGCTCCTGCCAGCCCTACCATTGTTCAGGGCTCGTTGCTGGGGCTGTGGACTTCTGAGGCTTCCGTCCTTCACGCTGCGTTTTGGAATTCCACCAAATAAAGAATGTGACCACACGTGGGCTCCGGGAGCTGGCGGCTCTTAAGAGGCCTGGCCTGCCTTCAGCGCTGCCTGTTGGCTGTCCAGGGCCCAGTGTTCTCCCCACCTGGTGGTTTGGGGGCTGGAAGGTTGTCTGAAGTCTCTCCCTGAGCTCCAGTCGACTCAGTGACCAGTGACTGTATTTTGTAGTCCTTTCATTCTGATGTGTGCTTTAAACCTCAATAATTAAAGTAATTTTGACTGGATTGGATGGTTTAAGAAGAGAAAGACCTGGAATCTGTCAGCCTAAGCAGACACAGGCCTTGGTCTTAAGTGACAAGGGGTCAGCCCCCAAAGCACTCTAAGCCTGGGTTTTCTCATTTCGCAAAGAATAACCAATTCCCCCAAAAAGGGCAAATCAGAACATTAGTCTGAACATTTTTTATGATTTACAAATAACTCTGAAACGATGAAGTCCAATCTTCTGCAAGAAATGTTGTGGTCCTCCTTCATCTTAGTTCCCTGCCCCAGGCTAACCCCAGTTCATCGGGTCTGTATCTTGTTTGCTTATGGTGGTGTGCCTTGTGTCCCCCGCTTAGTCTAGGCACGCCTTGAGGGCAGGGACTGGCCCTTTTGCCTCTATTTGTGTCCTGGGCACTTAACACACTGCCTGGCATATAGTAGGTGCTTAATAAATGTTTGTTAACTATATAACTTCTGGCCATCTTATTTCTTGTTCAGGATTCAGAAGATGGGCCTGAGAAAGTAGAAGTTACCTTTCTTCCAGCTGGGGAAAAAGGAATTTTTATACTTTTTTTTTTCCAGACTGGGGGACAGGGCCTGATGCCAAAGAGCCGGCTACAAAGCTTGGTACTTTTCTGGAAAAATCAGCCCTGGAACAGCTCGCAAGGGAGCCGCTCTGTGCATCCAGGTGGGAAGAAGCTTTAGAACGTGATGCCAGGTATGAAGGAGGAAAACTCAGTACTCTGAGAGGTGGGTGGGTGGGTGTGTGTGTGTGTGCGCGCATAACAACATAGTTATGAGCGTTGATGCTTGAAGGGAGATTCAGATGCCACAGTTTTCATTGAAATTTTCCATCCCCAAGCAAGGTCTTTTTATATTTAAAGTATTCAGAAACAAAAACAATTCCACAATTAAGTTTATAAGCAAAGAAAGAGAGTATAGATAACAGTCTTTAATGCATCAAATAGTAGAATCCTAACTTGAAGTGTCCCAGGAACTTGGGGAGTTATTTCTTAATGTATTCAGTCCAGTCAAGAGTACGGAAGGGAGGGGCAGCTAGGTGGCACAGTGGATAGAGCACCAGCCCTGGAGTCAGGAGGACCGGAGTTCAAATCCAACCTCAGACACTTAACAAGTGGGCAAGTCACTTAACCCCAACTGCCTCACAAATAAAATAACAATAATAATAAAATAAATGAGGGGGGAAGGGCGGACTGCTTTTATCTGGATGAGTCAAAGGAGCTCCTGCCCTTATCAGGTCACAGCTCTAAGTCTTCTCCAGAGGAATCAGAGTTCTTCCCTGAACTTTGACTTATAATAATTTCTCTTTTTGAATAGAGTTCCTAACCTGGCATCTGTGAACTTATTTTTAAAAATATGTTGATAACTGTGTTCTAATATCATTGATTTCCTTTGCAGTCCTAGGTATTTTATTCTGTGCATTTAAAAACATGATTCTGAGAAGGGGTTGTTAGACTTGCCCAGACCGCCACAGGGGTCCAACATACAAAAGAAAAGCTAAGAATCTCTGCTTTAGAAACTGGTTAGGATTTTCACGCTAGGACGTTGTCTCCTTGGCATTTGACTAAGTATTGAAAAGGCTTACTAGATGAGTCCAAAGGCTTTAGGTGAGACCCTGAGCAACTAGGATTTCTTACTGTGTCTAAAAGAGGGAACCTGGGGTGCCTTCATATGCTTCCACAAAGACTAAAGAAGAGGCATCCCAAGAGAGGTGTTCTAGGAAATTAAATATCCCAATATTCCTTTCTCCTAAGGAAAAATCAAAAGTCTGTGGGAAGCCATAGTCTATGGACAATTCTCTTCCCTCAATGAAGAGTCTCTGTAGGGAAGAAGCTACGTGACCTCGGTTCCCAGGGAAAACATCATTAAGACTCATCTCTCCCCACTTCTTTACAAAGGTGGAGGATCATAAGTGTGGAACGCTGCATCTGAATCTTTAGATATATTGATCAGTTTTGTGGAACTTTTCTTCTTTATTATGAGAGATGGTTCTCTGGGAAGAGGGTTGGAAGGGATACAGTGGGAAACAAAGGTGATGAAAAATAACACCAGTGATTTAAAACAATAGATATAAAAATTTCATTTAAAAAAGAGGACAGTTTAGGCCTTTGCAAATGCAACAGAATCTGCTCGAAGTAATTATTTTCCAAGACTAATGAATATTTGCCATAATTGAGTTATAATCCAGACTCTCTTGGGCATTATACGATACATATATGAACGTTTTAGTAAATGTCTGAAAGCTTTTAACCACAGTTCATCCATTCCCTTCACAGAATTCATACTTCTGAGAAGCCCTATAAATGTAATGAATATGAGAAAGCTTTCCACAAGAGCTTACAACTTACTGTACATCAGAAAATCCATACTAGCAAGAAACTTCATGAATGTAATGAATGTGGGAAGACCTTCAGTGTGAGAACAGGTCTCACTCGACATCAGAGAATTCATACCAGAGAGAAACCTTATGAGTGCAGTGAATGTTTGAAGGCCTTCAATCAGCGATCACACCTTACTCAGCATCAGAGACTTCATACGGGAGAGAGACCTTATGAATGCAGTGAATGTGGGAAGGCCTTCATTGTGAAAACAGGACTTATTCAGCATCAGACAGCTCATACTGGTGAGAGACCTTATGAATGTGATCAGTGTGGAAAGGGCTTCAGTCTAAGGACAGATCTTACTCGACATCAGAAACTTCATACCAGAGAGAAACCTTACGAATGTTTTGAATGTGGGAAAGCTTTCCACTGGAGCTCACATCTTACTCAACATCAGAGAATTCATACTGGAGAGAAACCTTATGAATGCAAGGAATGTGGGAAGGCTTTTCACCAGAGGTCAAGCCTTAATGAACACCAGAGAATTCACACTGGAGAGAAACCTTATGAATGTAACGAATGTGGGAAGGCCTTTAGTAGAAGCTCACGACTTACAGTACATCAGAGAATTCATACTGGAGAGAAGCCTTATGAATGTAGTGAATGTGGGAAAGCCTTTAGCAAGAGCTCACAACTTATTGTACATAAAAGAATTCATACTGGAGAGAAGCCTTATGAGTGTAATGAATGTGCCAAGGCTTTCAGAAGTAGCTCAGGACTTATTCAGCATCAAGCTACTCACACAGGAGAGAAACCTTATGAATGTAGTGAATGTGGGAAGCCTTTCAGCCATAGCTCACATCTTATTGTACATCAGAGAATTCATACAGGAGAGAAACCTTATGAGTGTAGTGAATGTGGGAAGGCTTTCCGTTTGAAGACAAGTCTTACTGTACATCAGAGAATTCATACTGGAGAGAAACCTTTCGAATGTAACGAATGTGGAAAGACCTTCAGTGTGAGAAAACGTCTTACTCTACATAAGAGAATTCATAGCCGAGAGAAAACTTTGGAGTATTTAGAATGTGAGAAGCCCTTTCATGGGACATCACCACTTACTCTACAGGAAAGAATTCATATTGGAGAGAAACGTTTTGAGTGTTTTGAATGTGGAAAGGCCTTCCATGGAAGCTCACAGCTTACTCTCCATTGGAGAATTCATACTGGAGAGAAACCTTTTGACTGCAATGACTGTGGCAAGGCCTTCAGGCAGAGATCACAGCTTACTGTACATCAGAAAATACATACTGGAGAGAAACCTTATGAATGCAGTGAATGTGGAAAGGCCTTCATCCGGACAACAGATCTCACGCGGCATCAGAGAATTCATACGGGGGAGAAACCTTATGAATGTAATGAGTGTGGGAAAGCCTTTAGCCAGAGGTCACAACTTACTGTCCATCAAAGAATTCACTCTGGAGAGAAACCTTATGAATGTCATGAATGTGGGAAGGCCTTCAGTCAGAGATCCCAACTTATTGTACATCAAAGAATTCATGCAAGAAAGAAACCTTATCCTCCTTTTCCGTCTTTCAACAATTAAGTATTTGACACTAAGTCCCCTGTAGGCCTGTGTATTTCTGTCCTCTCTAGGACATTGCAGTTTTTCCTCATCTTTAACTGTACCTTCTCTGTCTTTTGTCACATCTTGGCTTTTTTTCTCAGTCATTAAACGGATTGTTCTCCAAGATTCTGTCCTGGACTCTCCCCTCTCTTTCTTAATCATCTCTCTGTTGAGAATCTCCCTCAGCCCTAGTAACTAGCATGTTTTTGGGTAACTAGCATGTTTTAGGCACAGGGTGACCTCAAGCAGCCGTTGGGCTGGGCCCCTTTTCCTTTTTGCAGTGACCTCTAGATTCAGAACATCTAAGGATTTTTCATTATTTTTATCTCGGTGTTGGGGAGAAGGCATAGAAAGGTGGTGTGAGGAGGTTTCTTGGTCCCATTAGTCTAAGCGTGCCCCTGCCCTGGTACCCACCCTGCAGAACTCACCCTCCTTAGCCAGAAGCTTGCCCTCTTCCAGACATCTCCGTTACCACAGAGGACACCAAGGCTTGCAGTCGTGACATCGTCCTTGTCACCTACCTTGCCAAACTTGTCATCCTTTCTCCACAGCTCTGGTGTTTGTCCTCTTCTCTTCACTCCCACAGCCCTCACCTCACTGAGGTCCTCATCACCTTCTTCCTGGATTATTGCAGTAGTCTTCTATTTTGTTGGATTGTCCCAAGTCTCTACACCAGCCCACCCTCCACACAACTGTCAAAGCACAGGTCTGAGGCTCTGCTAGGGATTACAGGGAGTGTCTGCTCCCTAGTGAGTCCCCATTTCCTCTGAGGCCAGACGTAAAGTCCTCTGTTTGACCTTTACAGCTCTCCACAGCCTGACTCCTTCTGGCCTTTCTAATCTTCTTGTACTTGACTCCCCTCGAAGCACTACTTGCTGTCCCTTCCACACAGTATCTTTTGTCCCCACACCTTTATCCTGCCTTCTTAGGCCGGGAAGGCTTTGCCCACCGTCCCCTGACCCTGACCCCGATTTCCTTTAAGGATCCGCCAAAGGGCCTTTCTTGGTCCCCCAGCACATTCCCCTCTAAGGCAATCTCCCATCAATTTGGTATTTATGTTGTACTTATGTCTCCCACATTTGAATGTTAGCTCTGTCTGGGTAGGGACTGTTTTGGTGTGCTCTGGCACGACCAAGCATTTTTAAAAATGCTTCTTAATATTACATTGAATCAAAGTATCAATGGTTCAATAAAATTAATCCATGATCCAGACTTTTTTTCACATCCATTTCACATGCCCCTCACCCTATCCCCTCGATCATGCATGTCTTTTCTGGATTAAATGTTGCCATTTGGTGTGAACACTGCACCCTCTGAAACCATTAAAGATGGGCAGTGTATAAACTTCTAACAGGCCTCTACAAAAGCGTTATTCCTGCCTTTTGTCTTTGCAGTCTTCTCTAGACGTTAACTTGCTCCCAACTCTCGCTTCTTCTGAGCTCGGCTATTTCTTTCAAAGATGCTGCCATCATTCCAGTCCCAACCCACAGCTCTCCCTCTTCCTAAGTCCCCAAGTGCCAGATCTGGTCGGTCCTGCCCCACCCAGCTCTCTCCACCTGTATGAGGCCACTACTCTAGTTCCAGCGCAAGGCACCACTCCGTGGCCTAATCCCCTCATCTCCTCATTGCTCTCCCTGTCTCCAATACATCTCCACCTGTTCTTGAAGCACAGGTCTGAGCAGTCGCTCCTAAATGCTCCTTATCACCTTGAAGGCCCAATCCAGGAGCCTCTGTTTAGCCTTTAAGTCCCTTGATGATCAGACCTTTGCAGCCTCATTGTTCCCCTCCCCATACCTGACATGCAGCAGGGGTTCTTACTGGTTCCTGAATCTCTCTGGCAGTTTGGCAGAGCCTTTAGTCATCCTCAGAGGGCTGTTTGTAAATGTGTAAAAAGAAAATGCATGAGAGTGCAAAAGAAATATATTGAATTCTTAAGCTATACTTTAGTTTCCCAATAAACAGAAATAGAATTTCTTTGCCATATTTGGCTTTCTGGCTTGTTAACGCAGACGCAAATTGTTGAAAGTAAATTGAAAAAATAAATTGATAAGTCAGGCAACTGGACAAGAAAACCAAACCCCCAAGTCCTGAAAAGTGTCCTGCCCCTCAGACTCAAGGACCCTTGAGGGAAGAGAATGAAAAAAAAAAAAAAGAAATCCAAGTGAAGCCTGAGGGAAGTGGGTGTTGGTTGGAGGCTGGAACTAGGTCAAAGAGGCCGTTCTCTGCCTCATTTCTTACCTAACTTTAATCACTGATTGGGCCTTGCCTCAGGCAAACTGAGACCTGTTAAAGACCTTAGCTTAAAAAGGCCAAGGTCTCCCACTGCATCCTGGGCTGTCTCCAGTTGTCCTGATCTACATCTCAACACTGGACCCAGTAGGGGTCCAAATGAATCATTTCTCACAATAAATACTTTATGAATTTCAAATTTATATTAAAAAGAACAATATTAAAAATTGGCAAACTCCAGATAACAAGTGACCCTTCAGTACCCACAAGCCTCCGAAGCATAATCTTAAAACACCATCATTACAGTGAATTCAGTAAAGTTTCCACCTGAGCAGCTCAATTTTCCCTTCCAAATTTTAGGCAAGTGCCAAGATTTTTTTAGTCCCAGGAAATTGTATCAGATTAGGATATTTACTCAAAATCAAACCCAGTATGATACCAGACTTGAGGGGGAGTTGCTTATTAGGACCAGAAATTGACTGTGGGTTTGAATTGGGAATTGGAGACCCCAGGATTGAGTGTTGGCTCAAAGCCACTTCAGTTCTCCCATCCAATCTGGAGGTGCAATCATTTAAGTGACGGACACAGGGTCAGAATGAGTCAGGACCGTGGAAAAGTATGGACTGTCATTGCTTGTATGTTTGTGGTCATTGGGACTACTTAGCCGCAATGACTCCATGTTGGACTCCTATCATTTATAACTACAACATCACAAAATTTATTTCTTAAAACCAAAATTATCACACTCTCCCTCCCACCCACACGTTACCATTGGAAAAAAAAAAGAAAGAAAAACCAAATCCTTTTAACAAGAATATTTAGTCAAGTAACACAAGTTCTCACATTGGCCATATCTAAAAATCTTTTCATGTCTCATTCTGTACCCAGAAACCGTCCACTTTGTCAAGAGGTAGCAGGTAGCATGCCTCATCAGCAATCCTCTGGAATTGCTGGTCACAATCAATAATTGATAGGGAACCACCAGAGTTTACTGAGTGGGAGGGTAGACGTAGTCAGGAAAATCTCTTTAGTGGCTGGATGGAGGATGGGTTGGAGTGGGGAGAGACTGAGGCAGGCAGCTATTGCAACAGTCCAGGTGTGAGGTGATGAGGGTCTGCCCCACGGTAGGGACAGTGTCTCAGAAGAGATGTGGGGTGGTATTCAACAAATGATATGAGGAGTGAGAGTGAGGAGTCCAGGGAAACTTCTAGGTTGCGAGCCTTCGGGACTGGGGGGATGGTATTGCCATCTTCTCTAATAGGGAAAGGGGGCCAGTTAAGGGGAAAGATAATGAATTGTGTTTTGGACGTGTGTAGTTTAAGAGGTCTACCGGACGTCTAGTTCAAGATGGCCAAAAGGCAGATGGAGATGCAAGACTGGAGGTCAGCAGAGTTGGGGCAGGAAAGGTAGATATGAGAATCATTGGCATAGACATAATCATTAAACCCATGGAAGTGGATGAGATCCCCAAGTGGAGCAGCATAAAGGAAGAAGAGAAGAGGGTCTAGGATGAACCCTGAGGGACCCCACCTTTAGAGCGGGTGGCCTAGACGGAGATCCAGCAAAGGAGAATGAGAAGGAGCTTTCAGGCAGGAAGGAGAACCAGGAGAGAGCTGTCTCAAAAACCTGGCTGGAAGTGACTATCGAGAGGAGGGGGGTGGACAGTGTTTGAGGCTGCAGAGAGGTCAAGAAGGATGATGACTGAGAAAAGAGGATTTGGCCCTTGGACAGAGCAGCTTGGGCTGGCTAAGAAGGTCGGAAGCCAGATGGCAGAGAATCGAGAGAGTGAGAGGAAAGCAAGTGGAGGTACCCACCATGGGTGACCCTTTCATGGCGTTTAGCCAGAGAGGGCAGAAGAAATAAGGGATGATGGCAGGGATGGAAGGACCAAGTGAGGACTTCTGGAGGAATGGGATGGCACGGGCAGGCAGAGGACGGCCTGCTCTCCTCCTGAGGTGTATGATGGAGGAGCCAGGGCCGGAGCCCCCCCTGTGAGATGGGGAGGAGAGGGAGCTCCCCTAGACTGGCCCGGCCAGGCTCTCGACTGAGGGGCGGGGGAGCACGTGGTTTGGAGGGGGGAGGGGTGGGGAGGGTGTGACGTCATCCTGCAATGGATCAGTGAGGTGAATTTCTCCTCCTCGGCTCCCCGCGGTGGGAGCGCTCCCGACCTTACATAGGACCGGGGGCGGGGGCCTCAAGAGGGCACTGGAGGGCGCAACTGGCCCCTCCGGGGGTCAAGATGGGCAAAAGGGGAGAGCGTGGCTAGAGCACAAGGAAGACCGGTGTAGCCCTGGCTGAGGGTCAGATTGCCGGCGCGACTCCAAAGAGCGACGAGCGTAAATGACGCTTGGAGATCCCTGCCGCTCCCGCGGGGTTCTGGGAAAAGTTAGCTGGGTACCAAAGGCCGCCTCCCCTGGCCTTGGCCAGCCTCCGGAGCCTCCGGCACACAGCAGGCGCTTACTCAATGCTCGCTGGCCAAGCCTCGGCCCCCGGGCGTTGCCCGAAGCGCCGTCTCCCGTCCAGGTTCGCGGGGAAGTCAGGGCCAGCAAGCACTGCTTAGGCTCCTGCTGTGAGCCGGCCCGCTGTGAGCCAGAGTAGGGCCCCTCCGCCGCGAGGAAGCCCACCTCCGACGGAGTGGGTGGGCGGCGCTCCAAGGAGCTCCTTCCCACTCCTTCCCGGCCCTCTCCCTTGGGTGGAGGGGGGGAAGCTGGGAGTCGGGGGGTCCGGCGCGAGCGGAGGTCCAGAGCCCAGCAGCTGGCGCCACTCCTGCCCACTGAACCTCTGGACTACATTTCCCAGAAGGCCTTGCGAACGCGGCTGCCGGCCTCCCGGGGCGGTTCCGGTGCAGCAACACTCCCTGCCCCCATCACGTAACTTCCGCCCCTCCGTCCTGGGCGCAGGCTCGTGGCCGCCTCAATTCCGTTCCTTCAGCCACCACCGTCGCCGGGGTCTAAGCCCCAAGTCCGGGGCCGGGTGAGCGAGAGCTGGGGGCCGAGCGGAGGCTGGAGGAGGCGGGGGGCGGGATCCTCCCGGGAGTGGGGGGGGGGAAGAGAAGGGAAGCAGACATGCTGATTGGTTCGCTAGAAAGGGTGTGAGGCTAGGAAACCAATCAGCGGCACGGCCGCCCCTGCCACTGGTTGTCAGTGTCGGGGCCCGAGGTCAGTTGCGCGTGCGTAGATTCCTCCCCTACCGCCCAGGGGCTCTATCGCTGAGGACGTGGGTGGGGCGTGGCTGCCCGGGGCCACACCCCCCACGCATGCGTGCTCACGTTTTCTTTCCCTCCCCAGCCCCGCCCCCGGAGGACTCAGCTCTCCTCCCCTGGAGAGGAGGGAGGCATGGCCCCGGGGCCCGAGGTGAGCGAGCCGGCCAGCAGGGGGCGCCCTGGGTGCCCAGCCTCCAGCCCCGCCTCCCCTTGGGGCGCCACGTGGCCGCCCTGTAGACTTCGAGGCTCGTAGGCGCCTGCAGCGTTGGGTTCAGCCAGGCAGGGCTCAGTCTACCGGCTGTGAAATGGGGGTGTGCCCGCGGGAGGGCTCGGGGTCCTTATTGTTTGTGGGATTTGCCGGATTCGGCACAGACCTCCTGGACAGAGGGACGGACAGCGCCTGTCCCCAATGCCGGCCACTGCCACGCCTGGGGGGGACCCCCGAGGTGACCCGAGGACCCACCTCAGCAGGCGTGTGCTTGGCCTTCCAGGACTCCGTGACCTTCCAGGACGTGGCCGTGACCTTCACCCCCGAGGAGTGGGGGCGCCTGGCCGCCCCCCAGAAGGAGCTGTACCGGGAGGTGATGCTGGAGAACTTCGGGCACCTGGCCTGCCTGGGTGAGGGGCCCCGCCCCCCAGGATCTGCCCTCTCTTAGAATGAGCCGTGGAGGGAGGGTCTGACACCCCAGATCGCCCCTCCTTCCCCGGGCTCACCTGCCCACCTGTTCCCAGGTGAGGGGTGTGGCTGCCTGCACCTGCCCCTCCCCCACTCCACGGTTCCCTCCCAGGCACCTGAACCCATCAAGGCCCTGTTCCATGAACCCCCTGCTTCCAGGTAGGAGACCTAGAGCACCTTGGGGGGTCCTGAGCCATTCCCAAGGGACCGGGGTGGAGCTCTGTGGGGGCTCCCTGACCACAGATCTTTTCCGTGAACAGGCCTGGCCCTTTCCAAGCCAGACGTGATCTGCCAGCTAGAGAGAGGAGAAGCCCCTTGGATGCCACGGGGGGATGTCCCCCAGAGGCCGAGTGCAGGTGAGCCCTGTCTGAGCAATCAGCGGCTCGGTGGGTCTGTCATGCATGGGGTGAACGCTCACAGGCTTGGCCAGGCAGCTGTCCTGGAGGCTGCCCGGAGCCCCAGGGGTCTGTCCGGCCGCCAGGAAGCCTCCTCTTCTCTTGTCAGTCTGCGTGGAGACAGCCACCTCTGCGTGAGTGTGTGTGTGTGTGTGTGTGTGTGTGTGTGTGTGTGTGAGTGAGTGAGTGTGAGTGTGTGTGTGAGTGTGTGTGTGTCAGTGAGTGAGTGTGTGTGTGAGAGTGTGTGAGTGTGTCAGTGAGTGAGGGTGTGTGTGTGTGCGTGTGTGTGTGTACACATGTGTGCCTGTCCACGCTTCCTCGGCCTCAGTGTCTGTCAGCCGCCTGGGCCATCTGCAGCACTTTTCAAAGCTCTCAGGGGTGTTGGAGCGTTTTTGAGGAACAGCCTTGGGGGCCTGTCAGGTTCAAAGGCCTGGAGACACTGAGCCCAGGCTGTCCGGGTCACTGTTTTCTCCTTGTGGCCCCGGGGAGGAGGAGGACGGGGGGGGGTGTCAGAAGAAGAAGCTGGAGGAGGACTTGGACAGGAGTGGATGAGGAATTCTGTAGACGTGGACAGATTATTCAGAGTAGCCCTGCGTGTTCCATTGGGCCGAACCGATGACTCTCTTTTACGCGGTTTTTGGTGTTAAGTGACCACATTTGCACACACCCAGCCCCTTCAGGGGATTCCTAGGGATGCGGTGAGATGGAGCTGAAGGAGCGTCCGACGGGAGACAGCGCTTGGATGGGTCTGGCAGGCTGGAGATGCCGCACAGAGCGCGGCCCCAAGAAAGGCGTCCTTGGCGAAGCCTGTGGCCGTGGGTGCCAGGACACAGATTCACTGAGTCTGGGCAGCAGCAGAAGCCAGATGGCCTGGAGGGTGTCACTGAGGATGGAAGGGCGAGATCCATGATGGGAGTGTGGCTCCAGGGGCGTGTGCCTGATTCCCACAAAGCCGGCTAAGTCAAAGGGGAGGATGGGGCTGCTTTGTATAGTAAGAAGACACAGCTAGAGGTGGGGCTGCCAGGGGTCGCCACAGTGCAGAGAGCGCCAAGCCTAGAGTCAGAAAGACTCATCTCCTGAGTTCAAATCCAGCCTCAGGCACTTACTAGCTGTGTGACCCTGGGCTAGTCACTTCACCCTGTTTGCCTCCGTTTCCTCATCTGTAAAATGAACCAGAGAATAAAATGACAAACGCCTCCAGTATCTTTGCCTAGAAAACCCCAAATGGGGTCAGGAAGAGTTGGACAGGACTGAAAAATGACCAGGCAACAACAATACAGCTGAAGAAATCTGGAGGCAGGGGTCATCCTTGGTGGGGAGCCTGGGGTGAGGGTCAGCTCAGGGACCTTGCCCTCAGAGCTGCCGTCAGTGCTTTTGTTCAGGAGACCTTTTCCTTGTTCCTTGGTACATTTTGGGCATGGGTAGCAGTGGCCCAGCTGGGCCACGGGGCACGCGCTGCTTGGTCACTTCTTGTGTCACGCCACGTAGTTTTGCAGAATGGTGGCACCCACACGTGGCTCCTCCAGCAGGCTAAATGGCCGGGCCAGGATTGAGTTGCTAGGCAGTGTTTGAGGACAAATTTGAACTCAGGTCCTCAACTTTGGGCTAGTGTTGTGTCCGCCACATCTGCCTTCGAGGCCCTGAACCAGATGCTAACGTGTGCTTGGAGATCAACCTTTATCAGAGAAACTTCTCCCTGTTAATTGGATTTGTTCGCGCAAATACTTTTTAATTTTATGTAATCAGAACGATCCAGTTTGTCTTCTTCGCTGTTCCTTGTTTGGTCATGGACTTTTCAGATCTGTATCTGATAGTTTTTTTCCCACGTGCCTCTAGTTTGTTTGTGATGTGACAGTTTACATTTTGGTCACATATTCCTTTGGAGCTCATTTTGGCATATGGTGTGAAATGTTGGTCAGATCTAATTTTTTTCTGCTACTATCCTGTTTTCCCAGCTGCTTTTGCCAAATAGCCCGTGCTTATCCCAGTCGATGGGTATTCTGCTTATCTAATCTGGAATACTAGATAATTTGCTTTTGTGTACTGGGTACTCAGTTCCACCACGTACCTCTCTGTACCAAGTCTTGTCATTCCTACCTTTTCGACATCTCTCATCTATTCTCTGCCGCTGCTACCTCCTGGTGCAGACCTCATCACCTCGCACCTCCACTGCTGCAGCAGCTGCTGGGTGGGGTGGAGGGGTCCGCCTGCCTCAAGTCTCCCCCTCCACTCTCCTGCCGATAGTGCAGGTCTGACCTCGTAACTCCTCCCTCTTATCAGTAGACTTCATCACTCCCTTATCGACTCCAGGATCAAACATGAAACCCTGTGTTTGGTGTTCAAAGCCTTGAGAAGCCAGCCCCCTCTGACCTCTCCAGTTTTCCTAGACCTTACCCACTGCTATGTGCTCTTCCAGTCAGTGACAACGGCCTCCTGGCTGTTCCATCCTCTGACTCCCCACATTTTCTCCATCTGTCCCCCATGCCTGGAGTGCTTTTCCTCATCTAGGCTTCTGCCTCTGGGCTTCCCTGGCCAAGAAAACGAAGGGTTCTTTTCAAAGAGGTTCCCTGGAACCCCAAGAGCTCCTGGCCCCAGAGTCCTAACAACTATGTCTCCCTTACCCAGGGGGCCTACGGTGGGGCCCCAGATCAGTCCATGTGGAATCAAAGTTATCCCCACCTGCCGTCTGCATCACTGGCTGATGCTCTGGGAATGCCGAGGAGTTAATTTATGCTTCCCTAGTTCTGGGCCCACAACAGTTGGCCATTTTGGAGAGAATGCTTTCAGTCAAATGATGCGATCAGAAGCCAGTTTGCAACAGGTCAAGTAGTGAGTGAGAAGAGAGCAGATGAGGCAGGAGCATAGATGGTATAGACAAAAAATTCAGTTCATAAAGGGAGGAGAGGTGTGGGACAGTAGCACGAGAGGATGGTGGGGTCTAGCGAAGGTGCTTTTCCAAGGGGTTGGGATGTGGATGTGTTTAAGGCTGTAAGGAAGGAGGCAGTGGGCAGGGAGAGGTTGAAGATGGGCCGAGACTGGGAGTGACCAAGGCCCGACTCCCTTGGCCCCTGCTGAGCTACAGTGCCCTTGGAGAGGACCCATCTAGTTCACCTGGGTGTTCATGAACATCCCCGTTATGTTTCTCATGCTGTGTGCTGGAGGACAGGACAGTTGGACGTATTCTGAAGCCAACGGAGAGGCAGATGACAAGAGCTGTCCTTGGTAGTTGGGTTGGAGCCGTGGAACGAGGTTTCCATCGCACTGCCCCAGGGATTGGTGCTGTGTATTGTTGGTGACCAGACCTTGGACACGGGGCAAAGGACTTAATGAGATTTGCAGATGATCCAAGAAAGATTGCAGGCCTACTGGGTGACAGCTTGAAGACCAGAAGCCGTTTTGACAGTTTAGAGAATTAGAAGGTGAAATCACAAAGGAAGAAACGTCAGGTCTTGTACATGGAGGCGCCATGATTAGATAGCCACTGGCCTGGAGAAGCCCTGGGCATAAAGCTGCCTGGACCCTGCCTTTGAGGCACAACTCCCTGCAACGAGCAAGCCCTTCCTCTGATGTCTGCTGTGGCCTGAACACGGCTTTGGTCCCCACAGTTTAGGAAGGGCACCCTAAGAAGGACATCGGCAGAGCAAAGAGTGGGTCCCTACCACCTCCACGACTTGTTGACGGGACAATGGCTGGTTGAGTGTGAGAAGGTCGGGGCCAGCCTGATTGCTGTCTTCAAAGTCTGGAGGCCCGTCTTTCTGCTAACAAGTTGTCCTTGGGAGTCAGCCTTTCTCCCAGGCATGCCTCAGCCCCAGAGAAGTCAGCTGCTTCTTGCCTTCCCTCCCCGTCACTCCTCTCTGAGGGTTCCTCCGAACCCGTTCCTGGGGACCATTCTTTGCCCACCCTTGGGTCATTTTTCCTCGTTACCTAAGGAATTTAGTGTCTGATCCACAGTCAGGCTGCCTTCACCCCAACCCTGCCATTGCACTTGGTGAATTCCATTTCTGTGTTGAATGATGAGCCCTCAGATACCTGGCTTCCCTGTTCCCGGCCCTGCCCTGTCATTCCCTCTCTGCTGATCTTGTCATCCACTGTCCAGAGCTCTGATATTCTTGCCTGCCAAGAACCCCCAAGAGAACCCGCTCTGTCAGAATGGGAACTCCTTGAGAGCTCCTTGTGAATGTCCAGTGCTCAGGGAAGCACTTGGTATGCACTAAGTGCTTAATAAATGCTTTTTTGTTCAGTTAGTCATTCTTGGAACATTCTGTTCTCATTGTTTTGTGGGGCCACTTCTTTCCATTTCTGTTGTAATCACTGTATGGGCCGCTGCCTGAAAAATGACCCAACAACAAAAATCACTGTGCATATCGTTTACCTGACTTGTACACCTTCTTGGTACACAATGCTTCTCATGTACCCTGTTTCTTTTGAGTAGGCCTGTATATAGTCCATCCATTCACGGGCTTCATTCCACAGTCCCAGGCCTCTGTGATTTTCGTGAGGGGCACTTTGGCTGCGTGGGTCAGGACCTCGGCTTCCTTTTATTTGTGGCCTAACTTTGGGCATTTGTTTCTGCACACTGAAGGCCATGGGTTTACAAATATTAACTCATTTGATCCTCAAAACAACCCTGGGTGCGAGGTGGTGTTACGATCATCCCTATTTTACAGTTGAGGAAAATGAGGCAGACGTTGAGTGACTTCCCCAGGATCACACAGCTAGGAAGTATCTGAGGCTGGATTTGAACTTGGGTCTTTCTTCTTCCAGGCCCAGCGCTCTCCCCACGGAGCCGCCTTGCTGCCAAGGAGTTTGGATATTTTAGTCACTTAGCTTAATTCCATACTGCTTTCCAGAATGGTGGGCTCAGTCTGCCACCCCAACAACGTGCATTAATGTGCCCATCTTTCCTCATACATCTTCCAACGTGAACGCTCCCATGTTTTGTCACATTTTGCATTTTTGAAGAAAAAATGCTGACTTTCTTTTCTAGGTGTTCAGTAACCTTCCCTTCAAAAATACATCCTAGTTGTCCCCAGAAATCAAAGGCAGGTTTGATGGTCTCGCTTGTAAATTTCACCCTCTTCCTGTTTTTGAAAATCCGCATGTTTTCTGCCTCTGGTCCAGTGGCAACGATCCCATTCTCCGTCTTCTTTTAGTGATCACTGACAGTGAAATCCACCAGTTGTTTTAGTACGTTGGGGTGTACATTGTCTGGCGAGCCCAGCCCATCCTCTCTAGGCTGCCCTCCTGACTGCCGACTTTGTCTACCAGGCCCTTTCACTGGGACCAGCCTTTACTCTCCCTTCCCCCTCCTCCTAATCTCCTTTTTATGTGTTGTCTTCCCTCAAAATGTCAGCTCTTTGAGAGCAGAAAATGTCTTTTCAATTATATTTCTATCCCCATTGCTTAGCACAGTGCCTGGCACATAGTGGCGCTTAATAAGTGTTTATTGACTGACGGAATGCAGAGAGCAGGCCAGGCGGGAGTTTGGCTCAGAAAAGAGCGAGGCAACTGGGGCCTGGAGGCAAGGGAGGAAAGAGATAACCAAGCCCCTTGTCACTCCTGTCCTTCTAACCCTTAGCTTTGCTTTTATGAGCCACAAAGAGGGTTTAAAGTCTTAGAGATTTAAAATCACAAGGCCACTGAGGGACAGCCCTGTGTCACCTCACTTCAGGTGCAAGAATCCTCCTAATGTTCCCTTGAACTGACGGCCATCCAAACTCTGCTCAGATATTTCCAGATTCTTGTGGAGAGGCAGCACAGTGTGGGAAATGACCAGTGGGATGGAAGTTACTCTTCCCAAGTTTGAGTCCCATAACCTTCAGCAGGTCATTTAGCCCCCCTTGAGCTCGGTTTCCTCATTTGTGCAGTGAGGGCACTGGCCGGGTCAGGGATTTTGAAGACTTTCTTTTTTTTGTATCCTGGAACCCTTGGTCAGCTTAGTGAAGCCCATGAACCTATCCTCAGAATAGTTTTTCTATATATAACTGAAGCAAATGCTAAGTCTGGTTCAGAGCTTACTGAAAACAAAGATGTCATATTCTTCCTTGACTCCATGGATCCTACAGGGTTAAGAATCCCTGGACTACATGGTCTCAGATCTTGTCCAGCCCTAAGAATGAACAAGACTTATTGTTGGAATCCAAGAACTTTGATTAAACCAAAAGGGGTCCCCCTGGAGTTTCCACTCTTTGTTCCTACCTCTGCATTTCACGGAAGCATAGACTGAATACACTGCTTTGTGGAGAGGGGCAGTGCATGGAGCTTACAGTCAAAAGTCCACTTCCTTGGACTCAGCTTTGACATTGGCATTGGCATCGTGACCTTTGGCAGGTCAGCAAATCATTCTAAACCTCACTTTCCTCATTTGGCAAGGGATTATGAGTGTGAAAGTTTTTGATAAATTCCAAAAGAGTATGCAAATATGTTTTGTCAGAGAAGCAGGTTTATTGATACATTTTATTTCTTTCAGACTTGGAGGTGGCATCTGAAACCAAGGAGCCAACTTCAAAGATTGCCATTTTTGTAGAGGAATCATCCTTGGAAACACTGACAAAGGAACTTCCCTGTGTCTTCAAGTTGGGAGAAACCTCAGAATGTGATGCCCAGTTAAAGAGGCCGCAGAGAAATGTGGAAAAGCATTCTAGGCAAGTAAAAACCACCCCGAGGAAAAGTGCCGTTTAAGTGAGAGGCCATGAAAGCACCAAGTCTGTGTTCCATGTAGGGTCAGGAAGAGTCTCTGTGGGAAAGATATGTGTGATACCCCGATATAAGAGTTTCAGATACAGAGACTCAGTGAAGTTATTTTCTAAGTTAGAGCGAGTTGTGTTTAGATCCTATTGGTTATTGTAGTCTACATATTTAAGAGAAACCTCCCCAGTGTAGTGAATGGTAAAGCTTCTTAACTCCAGTTCATTTATTCCTTCCCATTACAGAATTCACACTGGAGAGAAGCCCCGTAAGTGTACCGAATGTGGGAAGCCCTTTCGCCAGCGCTCACAACTCATTGAACATATGAGAATTCATACTGGAGAGAAACCATATGAATGTAAGATATGTGGGAAGGCCTTCCGACGGACCACAGGACTTATTCAACATCATACAACTCATACTGGAGAGAGACCTTATGAATGTAATGAATGTGGGAAGGCTTTTACCCGAGTCACAGATCTTACCCGACATCAAAGAATTCATACTGGAGAAAAACCTTACGAATGTAAGGAATGTGGGAAGGCCTTCACCCAGATCATAGACCTTACCCGACATCAAAGAATTCACACTGGAGAAAAACCTTATGAATGTTTTGAGTGTGGGAAGGCCTACCATGGGAGCTCACAACTTACTCGACATCAGAGAATTCATACTGGAGAAAAACCTTATGAGTGCAATGAATGTGGAAAGGCTTTTAGCCAGAAGTCACAACTTACTGTACATCAGAGAATTCATACTGGAGAGAAACCTTATGAGTGCAAAGAATGTGGGAAAGCCTTCAGTCAGAGCTCACAACTCACTCTACATCAGAGAATTCATACTGGGGAGAAACCTTATGAATGCAAAGAATGTGGGAAGGCCTTTAGTCAGAGCTCACAACTTAGTCTACATCAGAGTGTTCATACTGGAGTGAAGCCGTATGAGTGTAATGACTGTGGGAAGGCCTTCAGTTGTTTCACAATACTTACTGAACACCAGAGAATTCATACTGGAGAGAGGCCTTATAAATGTAATGAATGTGGGAAGGCTTTCAGCCAGAGCTCACAACTTACTCTACATCATAGAATTCATACAGGAGAGAAACCTTATGAATGTAATGAGTGTGGGAAGGCCTTCAGTCGCTTCACAATTCTTACTCAACATCAGAGAATCCATACAGGAGAAAAGCCTTATGAATGTAATGAATGTGGGAAGTCCTTCAGCTGGAGTACAGGACTTAGTAGGCATAAGGCAATTCATAATGGAGACAAACCTTATGAATGTAAAGAATGTGGGAAGGCCTTCCACGAGAGCTCACAGCTTATTCGACATCAAAGAATTCATACTGGAGAGAAACCCTATGAATGTTTTGAATGTGGGAAGGCCTTTAGTCGGTTCACAATACTTACTCAACATCAAAGAATTCATACTGGAGAGAAACCTTATGAATGTTTTGAATGTGGAAAATCTTTTAGCAGGAGCTCACAGCTTACCCTACACCACAGGATTCACACTGGAGAGAAACCTTATGAATGTTTTGAATGTGGCAAGGCTTTCAGCCAGAGTTCACAACTTACTCTACATCAGAGAATTCATACTGGGGAGAAACCTTATGAATGTAATGACTGTGGGAAGGCTTTCCGTGATAGTTCACAACTTTCTCGACATCAGAGAATTCACAATGGAAGGAAACCCTATGAATGTAAAGAATGTGGGAAGGCCTTCTGCCAGAGAACAGAACTTACTATACATCAGACAATTCACATTAGAGAGAAACCTTAGATCTGTAAAAAATGGGAAAAGGCCTTACCTCCAGAGAACAGAACTTATTTGTTCTCAGATATTTCGTGCTGGATGAAGATGATGAATGTGAGAAGGATTTTATCTAGAGCATACCCTAATATTTACAAAATTCAATCTAGTGGGGGAAGTTATAGATAAAGCAAATTCCTGCCTGTTTTTTCTTAGTAGCTGTTATAAAACATTTTCTCTCTCAAGTTTCCAGCTACCTCTTTCTCCCAGTTCCCACATTGAGAGTAGACTTCACTGAGAAAGTTGTGTTTATCTTTTTTTTTTTTAAGCCCGGTCCATTTTTTTTTTTTTTTTTGCTACTCTCATTTTACTTTTTAATATATTTTTTGATTCCTTTTGTTTTTATGTCACCGTAATTTCCCTCTCCTTCCTTCTAGATGAAACCCTTCTTTGTGAAAAAAGAAAAACAATTAAACAAATATGGACCATATAGAACAGTCTATAAGCTATCCTGAGACAGTCCATGAGCTTTTAGCTGTAAGAGAGAAGCTCTGTTTCGTGATCTCCTAGGTCTTCATTGGTTTTTTCATTTCTCAGAGTTCAATTTCCTTTTTGTGACCTTTTCATTTCCGTTGTTGTCATCCTTGTGTTGTGGTATTATTTTCATCTTGCTTCTTTTGCTCTGCACAGATCCATACAAGTCGTCCTGTGTTTCCATGACTGCCTCATAATTAATCTGTACTGTACAATCATATTTCATTACTTTTACTTTATCTATGGTAAATTGGGACAATCAGATTAGAACTCGGCTTTTTCACTCTACTCAATATTCTCAGAATCAGGATTCTGGTCACAGAGGGTTCCTTACAAACCCAAAATTCCCTGCCTCCACACTTTACCTCCTCCCCCTCTAGGAACACATTCCGGCCATCATCTCCTCTTAGACTTCTTCAGTCCATCTTCCACTGGCCCCTTCCAAGCTGCTTACAAACAAGGTCACACGTCAGCAGTGCTAAAAAAACAAAAAGCCACACTTGACCCACTTACCCCTTGTTTCTGAGCCATGTCTTCTGTTGATCCTGCTTCCCTGGAAGTCATCAGTGACCTCAAACTCACCAAACATAATGGCCTCTTGTTTTTATTCCCTCTTTTCCCTCTGAATCAATCACCTCTTTTCACTGCCTCGTGCTCTTACATACTCTCTCCTCCAGCTTCAGAAGCATTGCACTTAGTTGTAGGTCTTTACCTGACCCTTCTCTGTCTCCTTTCCTCTGACGATTCCTTACATTGAAAAGTCTCCAAGGTTCTACCTTTGGCCCACCTTCTCTTTCCCCTGTACTGGCCCTGTTAGGAATCTTATCCAGCCCTGTTAGATTGACCAAGAGACAAACCTGCCAGGAAAGGCCCCCAGATGCTCTTCATTGGTTCCCCAGTGTTCCAGTTACTTGGTGCCCACATTCCTTTCATAATAAATGCATTCACTTTGTATGTTCTGTTTTCATTCTACATTAGTTTGTAGCAAACTTTTTTGGTTTTTCTGAAATCAATTAACAGGCTTCTGTTAAGCCCCTACTGTATGCCAGGCACTGTGCTATACTCAGAGGATACAAAGACTAAACTGATAAATCCCTGCCCTCTAGTATTGGAGGAAACCCTATATACAAAATATGCAGAATGTAAATACAAAGGAAGTGTCCGGGGTTGGCAGCAGCTTTGGGGGTGGGGAGGGAGAGACATGAAGAAGGCTTCATGGATGGTCCTGAAGTTGAGCTTGGAGTTCAGCAGGGATTCTGAGAGGCAGAGTGGGAGGCAGGAGAGTATTTTAGGTTTGGGGTTCAGCCAGTACAAAGGGAAAGGAGCAGGATAGGGTGGCTTGTGGGAGGGACAGCAAGGCCAGGCTGGATCACAGAGTGGGTGAAGTGGGATACTGTCTAATAAGGGAGGAAAGGCAGAGGAGGATAGCTTGTGAACTGTGGAGTCTGTATGTGATTCTAGAGGCAAGGGCGATCCATTGCAGCTTGTTCAAAGGGGAATGGCGTGACCTGGAAGAGAGATGAGGAATGCCTGAACGAAGGACATGGCCATGTGGGTGAAATGAAAGACCCTGACTTGAAATAAAAAGACAGAATTGACCCTATTTGGCAACTGATTGGGTGGGGGATAGAGGAAAATACTGAGGCTTTGAACTAGACTAGGCAGGGCTCTCAGAATGATGGGGATGCCTTTGATATGAACAGGGACATTTGGAAGAGGGTAGGGTTTGACAGAGGCACAGGCTTTTTTGGTAATGTTGCGTTTGGGACATCCAGTTGAAAATGTCCAATAGCCGTGTGATGATTGAGGACTGGAACCTAGAGAAGGGGCCAAGGCTAGACAAACACCTGGAAAGTCTTCACATCTGTCACTTGCTACTACACAATATTCCCCCACATCCGTACGCCACAGTTTGTCTAGCTATTCCCCAATGGGTGGATACCTGCTTTATTTCTGCCCTCTTGCCTTCTTTCTCAGCAGCATTGTATTTCAAAGAATATGGAAAATATTGGAATCTTAGATTCAATAGACTTCAGCTGGAGAAGCCTAGCCCCTAGGAGGGTCAAGAATGCCACCTTAGCAGAGGGGGACATGTGGGGTTAACAGAAGCAAGTGCAGTAAGGCTAAGACCTGGATGAGGGAGCGAGGGTCTAGTCCCTGAGCTTGGACTGGCCATGGGCAAGACTTTGCCGTGGAAGCCAAGGCTGGCATGTGAAGCGTAATTGATAACAATGGCTGGAGGAACTTGTGGGGGCTACATTACTCGTGTAGTCTTCACGCTAATGAGAGGAAGGAGATGCCTTCCTGAATACAGCACCCTGTAATTCTGGGAGAAGGGGGGTTGGGACTGCTTTGGGTGTTGCAGGTGGATTCCCTAGAGGCAGCGGCTGGAGCTATTTGGCGCCTTGGAGGGAGGCGCGAGGCTTTAATTGTCTCAGGTGAGCTTAGTACCTACCACTTCACTAGATCTATCAGACATATTCCAATCTCCATGTTCCAGTCCTCATCCTCTAGGGTCCTTTTTGCTCTTCCCTCTCTTTTCACATACATACATACACACACACACACACACACACACACACACACACACACACACACACGTTTCCCCGTCTTGTTGATTTTATCCCCATATTGTCGCATCTTTACTCTTGTTTCCCACTGCCACGTCCTCAGGAGAGGCCTTCATTATTACCCACATGGACTGGCATGATTCTGCCTCATAGCCCAGCCCTAGCCCATTTTGCTCTGAATTTTTCACATTCAGCATTTCTTATGGTATAATAATATTCCGTTATATTCACATACCATAATTTATACAACTGTTCCCTAATTAATGAACACCCAATGTGTTTCTAGTTCTTGGATACCACAAAAGTATCACGATTTTTTTGTATACATGGGACATTTTCCTCTGTCCATGACCTCTTTGGGGTTAAAGGTTATGTAGAGTTTAGTGACTTTCTTAGTATACTTCCAAATTGTTTTCCAGAATAATTGAAACAGTTCATAGCTCCATTAATGGGTCCTTAGTCAGACTGTCTTTCCATAGCCACTCCAACATTTACAGATTTGCCTTTTGACATCCTTTCCAGCTGACAGGTACACAAAGCCATCCTTGGGTGTTAGGAAGTGGGATGTGTAAATACTGGAGCTATTTGGTGGATGGTCCTTCCCTGGTGCAAGAGAGAGAGAAGTAGAATGTGATAAATTGCTCTCACCCTGCAGGGAGAGAAAGCTGGGGGATGCTGTCCTAATAGTCTGTCCAGCCGAGACTTCTCACGCTGGGCCCACCCTTGACCTCAAACACTCTGTCCTGCTTCAGCCCATACAAGCCCCCCTCCACTGTCCTGGAGAGAGAGACTGCCTGAAGGGAAACCAGAGGCAACGAGGCTTCCGTTCCTTTCCTCCTCTCCCAAGGTAACTACGATCGCATTGTAGCTCGGGCGTCCACCATGTCACTGGCCCAACAAAGAGCTCCATCCTCTCGGAGACATCACCCAAGCCTTTCTAATTACCACGTGCCTAGCAATTCAAAGTAATGAGATTGACTACCACCTACTATGTGTCAGGCACTGTGATAAGTGCTGGGCAGAGAGAGGAAGGTAAAAATCTCAGCTCTCAAAGAGCTCGTAGTCCAATGGCCACTGTGCACAAAATAAGCCACAGACAGAGGGTACCAGAATGAAAAGGGATTCCTGGACAAGCCAGTGTTTTAGTGGGACTTGGAGGTGGAGGTAAGAAAAGAAAACATTCCAGGCACGGAGGCCAGCCAGGGAAAATAGCCAGAGTTAGGAAATGGGTGTTGTGTGTGAGGACAGAAAGGAGGCCTGGATCATGCAGTACGCAGAAGATGCCAAGACAAAAATGGAGCAATCCCTACCCTCCCAGGGTATATATTCTGGCAGAGGAAATGTGTGTGTGTGCGCGTATACATGTGTGTAAAAGATATACGAAATAAATAAATATTAGGGAATTAGTGGGATGGAGGGGGCACTAGCAGTTGTAAGGATCAAGAAAGACCTCACATAGGAGGGGAAATTTGAACTACGCTTTGAAAGAAACTAGAGGGGCAGCTAGGTGACGCAGTGGATAGAGCACTGGCTTTGGAGTCAGGAAGACCTGAGTTCAAATCTGGGCTCAGACACTTGACACTTACTAGCTGTGTGACCCTGGGCAAGTCACTTAACCCCAATTGCCTCACAAAAGAAAGAAAGAAACTGGGGATTCTAAGAAGCTGTGAGGAGGAGGGCATTCCAGGCAGGGGGGACAGCCAGTGCAGAGGCATGGAGATGGGAGTTGAAGTGCTACTGGTGAGGAACAAAGAGAAGGCTGGTCTGGTTGCATCAGAGATCAGTTAAAGGTACAAAGTACAATAAAACTGGAAGCGTAGGTGGATACCAAGTTCTGGGGTTCAGATGCCTAAGAGAAGTAGCAGGGCGCTGCTGGAGTTGAGTGTGCTTGTGGCGCTGTCAGGCTTGCCTTTTAAGATGATCACTTGGGCTTCTGTTCAGAGGCTGGCTTAGAGGGGCCACACTTGAGGCGGAGAGGACTCCTGGACTATTGCAATAGCCCAGGCAGTGGGTCACACAGGTTGACTGAACTAGCTAGGGTAGTAGCCCTTTAAGTAAAAAGTGAGCGGATAGGTGAGATGTACAGGGAGAACTGGCAAGACTTGGGAACTGACTGGCTCCATGAGATGTTGGAGAGCGAAGAGTCAGGCTGATTCCAAGGCTGAAGACCCGGGTGATTGCAAAGAAGCCGATGCCTTTAGCGGTGCAGTCATCTCGTCCACA